GTGTCTTCACACTAGTGTCCACACTTGCAGCTTCCATAATGGCTGTGATAACTCCTCCAAAAGTAGTAGATGCTTCGTCGCATCTAGGTTATGATATCGACTGTTTCACCTTCACGAGCCTCTCAGCTATAACTGAAGCAAAGTAAACTGATAAGTGTCATTTCTTAAAGGCAGACTAAAGTAGAAAAAGCTCAGGAATAAGAATGCAAGACTAATAGGCTCTAGAGAACAGCTTGTGTGCCATCAGGTGATGCACAAAACGCACAGCATGGTGCGACAAGAAAGCTTCGGGATGTCATCCATGGTCATACTCATCCTTTCCCATCATTCTCCAAAGATCATCATCCCACACTTGACCAATATCTGTCTTTTCCTCAAGCTCCAAACCAAGTGCCTCACAATATAAGGAATACTAATAGAGAAAAGATCTCCATAGATAGTGAAAGAGAGTATATCGTCCCTTGGTTTGGATCTTCGCTTTCACAGATAAGAAAGATGTACTCAAGCTAGGAACTCTCGTGTGAGTCCCTCATAGGTCGGTCGATCGATCTACATAAATGCTCTAAGCTTCAGCTTATCAAAGTAACAAATGATATTTTCAGTGATTTCCAAAGTGTCCAAAGTAGAGTAATCAATTCACAAAGTTGGCTTAATATTCAACTTCTTCATGTGCTCCACATAGTCAACAGATGGATCAAGTGATACACCAATAGAAGCAACTTGCGAGTTTATAGGAGGTGTTAGTGCTCTAGGAGGAGGAGCAGCATCCGGAATCCTTACTCTACTAAGCACTACTCTTGCTTGCCTATATTCATCTGTGAAGTTGTTAAGTGACTGATCTTCTCTCAACTCCCCTTGGTGTCTCCTTTCTACTTGGCTTGAAGATCGTCTAAGCTCGACGTTCTTAGAGCATATCTCACGTCTCTAGTTGTGTTCCATAGTGCCTACAAAAACAAAGCAAAAACTCGACCAAGAATATAAGTCTGATGTATTTTGAAGATTTTCTAAAAGCAATGGCACCATAAAAAAGTATTCAGACTCTTATACAATATTAAATAAGCAAAGCACAAACTCAATGAATAACTTTATAGAACCCATTGCAGAATTTTGGGGTTTTGATGATCTTTATGAGGAATTCCATAAAAAATTGTTTTCAGCGATAATTCATGACTAAAATCCTACTCAAATCGATTATGAGCTTTTAGTAAATCAATGATGAGCTAAAAATAGCTTCATGGTTCATCAAATTCGAATCCAACTCAAAACTCAAGTTTTCAAAATCAAAAATTGCAAATTTACCATTAATAAGCTGTAAAAATCGAGATCTAACAACCTATTACATAGATAAAAGTTCTCATATTGATAATCTAGCTCAAGAAGTGATAATATTGCTCAACAAAAGAGATACCAAAATTTAGTCTCCTGAAAAAAATCGGATTTTAGAGGACATACTTTGTTAATGGAGAGTGTAGATGAGTTTGGAATTGCAATCTCCTTTGAAAAAGATTGAGTTTTGGCAAAAGAATTTTTGAAAAATGTTTTGTTTTGAGAAAGTTGCAAAATCTCTCAAAATATCTCAAAATCTCTTGGAAGAGAAGAAGAAAGGAGTTTTGATTTTATAAATTTCTTTTTTCTTTATAAAAAAATGTTTTTAAGAAAAGGAACGTTTTGATGTCAAGCACATTCTTATTAAGTTGAGGTTAGGACTTTGCAAGGTTTTGAAGTTTGACACCAAGAGTAAGAAGCACAACGTCAATGAATAAGCTTATTCCATTAAGCTTAAGGAAGCAAAAGCAGATGTTGATGATCCATCAATGAGTATGACTGAGAGAGCTTTGATGGGAATTTCCTTGATACTTTATTTAAGGAGCTTTGTTTCAAACCAAGAAAGGAGCCTCCCATGGAGATTATAAGGAAGACCAAGAAAAGCTCACATGCAATAGGTTTTCTTTTGGAAGGTTTGACTTTAAAGCCAACTCCCTTAGCTTATGGAGGAATGACGTACAAGCTAAAGTCCAAGGGCAAGCCAAGGCCCTTAGCATTCCTCAAGGTGATAAGTCATACTACAAGTCAACTGGGGGAGGTTCAATTTGAGAAAGAGGCAAGTGCAAGGGAAGTGATGCAAGTTCTGCTCAAGAACCACCTCTCACCTGGTCCAAATGCCAAGGTTCCATTGTTTATGGATCAAGCCACTAAGAAGGATAGTAAGAAAATTCAAGCTCGGTGACGTTAAACAAACGCTTTTAAGAGGCACCCTAAGCTTATCCTTGTAATATATTATGTTTTTTAATTTTTAGTTTTGTTTTTAAGTTGTATTAAGAAGCCAGGTTTAATCCATGGTTGAATGCTAAGGGGAAGGCTTGGAAAGAAATCATATGCTCTAGCATCGGCGTACTATAACAGTTTCAATCCGATGTGCATAACCAGGGAAAAACCGTATCAATGAGCATATCAGGCTGTGGTCGATGCAAATCATCCGAGTCCAAGAACTTCATACCGAGCAACATAATATTGACGTACCGAAACGGGCAAACCAAACTGATATAAACAATAACGTCAGCTATAACGGGTTCAAATCATTGTAGCGGTTAGTAAGAAATCTTTATCACTTATCTTTTCCTTTTTCTTGGCATTTGTTATGATTCCTTCGTGGCCCATATTAGGTACAATTAAGCCTCCTCTTCTTGTTTAAAAACACCCATCGTCTTAGCTCAACAAGAGCACCTCCTATTTTCTCTATTTAGCCTTTGTTCTTCACAAATTTCCCTCTTCTTCAAATGGATTTTTCACTCAAAGTTCTTAAGAAATCCAATTTTTTGTGCTTTTGCATTACTTTGATAAATTTTCGAAAATATCTTAATTGTTTCTATGGAGAAAATTGTGAAAAAATGTCGAAGAGTTAATGGATTTGAGTGGTTAATGGTTAGGTTTTTGTTTTAGAGAGAATAATTACTTATTTCTTGGTTTAAATTAGGCATGCATCAAGAAAAATTATAGGTTTTGACAATATAGGGTTCTTCAGCTAGTTTTGCAATTAATCTATATAATCTTGTTAAAATTTAGAAATTTGTTGTGCATGCATCCCAGTTTATCATATCATGCACTCAATTTACTTGAAGGCTTGCATCTAGTTATATTGATTTTTTTTTTCTTATGATCAATGAATTTTGTGTAAGTTTGAGAACTTATTGCAAGCACAACAATTTTTCTTTAGTCATGAATAGAAGGACTCTAATGTTAAGCGATTTTGTTTTTATTTTTGGCATTGATTTTTTTCATCTAGACAATATAGTAATGTTATCCCAAGTGTTTGTTCTTCGGGTACCAATGAAAGATGAGGAGTGGCAAAGAGGTTGGAGAATCATTGAGCCTTAAAATGCTTAAGGGGCTTAAGAGGATGGAATGGACTTTGAGTCAGGAATGGGATTCAAGTTGGCCGACCTCCGTGCCAGAAGAAAGAACACGCCGTGCTACCGAGTTCCCATGGTGCGGCTGTTGGTCGTGAGCGATCCTCCGTGGAGCAGCAACCGGACATGTATTCAGTGTTTTTGGTGTAACTTAAGATCTAACATATAATTTTGATGAAACAACTTTGACATGGTCCCTGACTCACCTGGGTATCTTGGCTCCAAATGTGAACCGTGAAATGTCTGATCTGATACTTCTGGTAGTCCGAAACTATCCAAAACCTGGTTTTTTTTCCAAAAGACTCCAAAACTTGTTTTCTTCTTGAAACTCTTAATCTGAGTTTTGAAAGTAGAAAACACGAAAAATGCTTGAAAATCTTTAAAAACCGAGTTAAAACACCTGAAATAGATATTGAAATATGGGTAAAATCTTGGTATTATCAACTCCCTCAGACTTAAAACTTTGTTTGTCCTCAAACGAAACAGAGATCCAAGTACAAAAAAGGTTTAAAAATATGGGAACTTTGCAAGTGTTCAGTAACTGCACTCCTAAGAAATGATAGAGATTGTGACTTTATCACCGATATAATTTTTTTTCCTTCTAATGTTATCCATTTGTTCAGTCTATTCTCATACATCTATCCACGTTGTTTACAACATCCACATCCACATTCAGTATATGACTTCATTCCCACAATGTTAGTTTTTCAGTTTGATGGAAGAATTGTGGATACATGAGTGTGGACAAGCATTTGTCTGTAAGTAGAGAATGAAAAATTTTCACGGATACTCAGCATTTGTAAGAGATGACTAGCATGGACACAAATATACGGCTAATAAGCAGTGAATACATTGGTACATGAAATTGATATAATCGCTTATGGATTTGCACACATGGTTACACAAGGATTTGCACTCATGTTTATGGGACTGTGTCCACAATATTGACACTACTAATATTTACAAATCAAGTAACTAACTAATATAAACACAAATACATGAGTAATAAACATTGGATATAATTGTATATATATAAGATTAAACAATCGCATATAAATTTGCGCATAGAATTAAATGTATTAGGACTAAACACACTAGTCTAAGAGGATGTATTCAAAATAGAATTTAGGGTGATTTGTATCAAAATCACAAACCCTATGTTATTGAAACATAAAATTTAAAATTTTGTTTAAAATTCAGTGTTATTGAACCAGTGATTTGAAAATGTATCTTAAAATTCACTGTTATTGGAAATAATTTAAGTAGAGAGTTTTAAGAAACTTGGAATGATTTTAAGATGTTTTGATGAAATTTCCTTGTTAAAAATATATGAATCCAAATCTCATGATTTTAGATGGAGTTTAGTAGAATTTTGATATAAAATCATAACAATTTCCATAATTTAACCAAATCATCTAAAAACTCATTAAAACTTAAATTCTTTCAAATCATTTCCAAATGTTAAGTTGAATACACCCCCTAAACATGAGTTGTAGACAATAAACATTAACAACAATTTCTCATTTTATTCTTAAATTTTTGTTTATCTTATGACCTTATCTTATTTTAGTGGTTGACTAATTAAAAGAGAAATAACTCCCCATTCGAAATTCATGTGCAACCTCTCCTCACCAAGATCATATTAGTACACTGCCCAGTGAGACAGTGCAGGACGAGATAAAAAAAGAATCGCCCCATCCTTCATTTTTTCTTTTTTCCTTTGAAATTGTGCGTTGGAGTGTGTTTCCTTCAAAAAGTTCAAAAGCCGATTCGACCCATAAAACCCATAAAACCCAGAACTTCGAGAATTCCTTTTCTGTTCTCTTCCAAGAATCTTTCTCTCGAGGCTTCCTTTTTCTCCGTTTTTGGTCTTCGTCGTCATGCATTCCGCGTTGGAGCCTGAGAGAAGGGAGGAAGACGAACCACGTGGAGGAGGAAGCAATTCGCTAAAGAGGAAATTCTCCGAAATCAATCGAGATCAACCTCCTGATTCTTCTTCTTCTCCTATGGTGATCGACTCTAATGGGTATCTTTTAACCTCCCTCTCCTTGTAACTTGATTTTGGGGTTTCTTCTGGGTTTCTGTTCTACTACACTAAAGTGACTCTCTTTCTCCTTGTGGGTGTAGTAATTATGAGTTGAAGGTGTACGAGGTTGCAAAAAACAGGAACATAATCGCTCTTCTGGGTACAGAAATTGATAAGCCAAGGATAATCAACATGCTTATCCAAGCAATGGTTTCTTCTAATTCGTCCAAAAGATTGATCCTTTGCTTGGCCCCAACTGTAAATCTTGTCAAACAGGCAAGTCTTTTATCCGATTCCCATAATTTTTGGTTGTGTAGCCTCGGTTGATTGTGAAGGGAAAATTGTTTCTTTGTGGGGTTTTGTATGGTTCTTTTTTATTTAATCACTTTGACTCGATGATGAATCACCATGAGAGCTCATTTCCGATTGCTTTTTTTGTTGTGTATGGATTTAGCATTGCTCTGAGATCAGAGCACATGTAGATCTGAAGGTTGAAGAGTACTTTGGAGCTAAAGGAGTTGATAAATGGACATCCCAGCGATGGGAAGAGGAAATCAGCAAGCACGATGTAAGTTTGTGTTTCTGCTTTGGTCTATATTGCTAGTTATATGCTAACAAGCGACTTCTTTTTTGGTTAATAGAGCTTTGGCAGAATGTTACAATCCACTTTGACCAGCTAATTATTGCCTAAATATTCTTTTTGGCATGGACGTTTGATTTTCTTGCAGTTAGCATAGCAGCAGAGTGTGTTTGTATTTGGATGGTCTTTGAGGCTGCTTCTTCGTTTGTTTTCCATGTTTAGTTAAGCCTATTTTGGTTTGTTAGTTCATATTGATGCCTAGATTTTTGGGTTTGGTTCTTCTTCCATTGTTGATTCTTTCATCATTCTGCTTTAACTTGCCTGCTCGATCCCTTGACATAGATTTGTGACTTCATTGATCTCACTAACAGTTATCACATACATTTTGTCTTGCCGAACCCAAATGATCGGTCTATCATGTTCTGTCTGGTTCAGGTTCTGGTTATGACTCCTCAAATATTTTTGGATGCCCTTAGGAGTGCATTCCTGAAATTGGAGATGGTATGCCTTCTAGTACTAGATGAATGCCACCGCACCACTGGCAATCATCCCTTTGCAAAAATAATGAAGGTGTCTTTCCTCAGTAAATGATGAGACCTATAAGTTTTTGATATGCATTTTTCAAAACCAGTCAATAAACTGTTTCTTTCTGATTCTGAATGAAGGAGTTCTATTACAAATCTACTGACAAGCCGAAGATGTTTGGATTGACTACGTCAGCCGTCATTAGAAAAGGCATGCTATTTAAAGTTTATCTTTTGCTCTGTATGTCAAACCGAAGATCTTGTAACTATTTTGTTAATGTTCATCGTGTAAGTAAAATATGCTATTGTCATATTGCAAGAATTTTGTTAGCTGCCTCTTATATGTTTCATGTGCCTTGAACTGTGCAGATCAAGTACCAGAACTCGAGAAGCTCATGGACTCGCAGGTACTTAGTTCTTTTGTGTGAAAAGGAAATATATACTGCTTCACGAATTAATGTTAGCGCAAGATTTTACTTTGAAATTCAGATTTTTAATCCTGAAGGGGAGAAAGGGGTAGAAAAGTTTGCTACGACAGTGAAAGAAGGTCCAATATTTTATGACCCACCACCATTCTGTAATTTGGAACTGAAAGAAAAGCTGCAAACTTCGCATGTCAAGGTAATATATATGTATGTATGCTCACTGAATATTAGCCAGAACATTGCTCTTGCCTATTATCTTTCAGAGTGCTTGAAAAAGGTTATAATTTGTTCCACAGTTTGATGCTTCTCTTTTAAGGCTTCAAGAAATGGGAAAAGACAGTTTTCCGGACATGGAGAATAAGTTTAAGACATATCGAATGCGATTGTCCATTGACTACAGAGAGATTTTGCATTGCCTTGATAATCTTGGCCTGATTTGCGCACATTTGGTATTCTTTCTGTCACATTCTCCTTGTTAGTGTTCTTTTCACTAGTAGTTGTTCTAACTTTTCCTTTTTTTGTTTATCTTTCTTTCATTAAAGGCGGCTGAAGTCTGCTTGGAGAAAATCTTAGATACGATAGAGGAAAATGAAACTTATAAAGAATGCTCAATGGTGTGCAAGCAATTTCTTGAGGATATTTTATCCACATTTGGGGTGTACTTACAGCAAGGTACTGTATTCAAAGCTCCATTTTGCATTGAGGAGTCCTCTTCTAATCGAAACTTCGATCTTTTTTCTCTCTCTGTGTCTCATTTGTGTGATTTAACAGGAGATAAGAATTCAGTAGATTTGCAGCAAAACCATCTGCCAGCAGTGAATTCGGGACGCGTATCTCCAAAGTTACAAGAACTTTTCCATCTATTGGATTCATCTAGGTAATTTAGATTGTTTGTTTCTTCAATTCCCAAAATCGCAACAAAGTTTCCTTCTGTTTTGATGACTTTAACTTGCTTGCAGAGGTCAAATGCAAAAGCCGTGCCTTATTTTAGTTGAGAGAACTATAACTGCAGAAGTGATCGAAAGATTCGTGAAGAAAGAAGCTTCTTTAGGTTACCTTAATGCATTGGCACAGAAGACGCAAGAGTCATTTCATGTTGGCAAGGTTACATGTTCTTCATCACAGTCAGACGATTCACAGATTGAAATATATTGATATTTTGTCTTCTCTGAAAGCTTTTGTAATGACTAATGAATGCAGGTGAATCTTCTATTTATCACTGATGTGGTTGAAGAGAGGTTTCAGGTGCCAGATTGCTCATGCATGGTTTGTTTTGACCTGCCCAAAACAGTGTGTAGTTACTCAGAGTCTCAGGAACTGGCCAAACAGAGTAACTCTAAGTCGATTATGTTTCTTGAAAGGTAGGAGACGATCTTTGATTATCTACACAAAGTGTTTACCAAAATCTGGTGCCCTTTTTCGCATCTCAGTTCTTTTAATACTAATTTTTGTAGAGGAAACCCGAAACAAAGAGGCCATCTGTATGACCTTATGGGAAGAGAATTACCAATGACAAATGGCCATGACATGAAGGATAATGGAGACACTGTTGTAGCTACCACTCAAACTATAACTGCTCCTCCTAGCAGAAATGAGCCGTCAGCATTCAAGAAGTTGCGTCAAATGGACGAATTGGATAAGAATCTTTTACAATGCAGCACTAAAAAGAAAGCCGCCTCTTCTAAAAGCAAACCATCTTCATCAGCTGCAGGTAAGTTTGATCTTGGTTCCTTAATAAACCGCTCTTGATTCACACATACATTAGCAGAAGCGTATGTCTAAGGTCTTTGGGGATTTTCTTGATTTCGTTATATATATTTTATTCGTTGGATAGGCTCAAAAAAGCGGAAGGAGCTGCACGGAACAACCCGTGCAAATGGATTGTCAGGAACTTGGGGAGAAAATCTTGATGGCGCCGTCTTTCAGGCTTATAAGTTAGACTTTTGTAGTAATTTTTCAGGGGACGCGTACTCGAGTTTCTCTCTTTTGATTGAGTCTACCCTTGCCGATGATGTTGGTAATGTCGAGATGGACCTTTACCTGGTCAGGAAGTATATGAAAGCTTCCGTTTCACCTTGGGGCCAGATACGTTTGAGTCACGAAGAGGTACTTCCCACACACTCTCATCCGTTGGATTTATACAGTTTTCTTGTTTTATCTTTGAACTTAATGACTTCTTCTTCATGCAGATGATCAAAGCAAAGTGTTTTCAGCAATTTTTCTTTAATGGAATGTTTGGGAAGTTGTTTGTTGGATCTAAGTCGTTGGGAACAAAGAGAGAATTCTTGCTCCAAACTGACACAAGCTCTCTTTGGCACCCTTCGTTTATGTTTATACTGATACCGGTTAAAACGAATGAACTAGTTTCGAGTCTGACGATTGATTGGTCAGCGATCAACTCCTGTGCCTCTGTAGTTGAGTTCTTGAAGAAAAACTCTCTTCTTGAACTTCATGTTAGTGATGGAAATCATTGCAGCACATCGTCCATTCAGGAAGCTATACTCGAGGATGAGAAGAAGGAAAGGGGAACGAATCTGATTCACTTTGCTAACGCTTCTTCTGATAAAAATTGTCTCCAAGAAATTGTTGTCATTGCAATTCATACCGGACGGATATACTCTATAGTTGAAGCTGTAAAGGATTCTTCTGCTATGAGCCCGTTTGAAGACGAGTCCTCCTCAGAATATGCTACTTACGCAGAATATTTTAACAAAAAGTGTGAAAGTCTTCTATCTATGGATGTTTCTCTCAATTTACTTCCATAACTTATAATATCATTTACCTTTGAATCAGGTATGGGATTGTATTGGCCCACCCGAATCAGCCATTGTTGAAGTTGAAGCAGAGTCACCATGCGCACAACCTTTTAGTCAACTTCAATGAAGACGGTATGTTGGTTCTTGACACTTTCTCTAACACATGGATATTGTAGTGTGTAAGCTCTTGAGATGATGTTTCCAATGTAAATGGGCAGTGACTGTGAAGCAGAGGCACCACGCGCCCAACCCTTTAGTCAACATTAATGAAGAAGGTAAGTTAATTCTTGATAATTGCTCTTAACACATGGATACATTGTTGTATGTTCTCATGAGACTGTAATGTACAAGCTCTTAAGATGTTGTTACCAATGTAAATGGACAGTGATTATGAAGCAGCGTCACCATGAGCACAACCATTTTGTCAACTTCAGTGAAGAAAGTAAGTTGAGTCTTGAGAATTTCTTTTAACACATGGATGCATTGTAGTGTACAAGCTCATTAGATGTTGTTTCCAATGTAAATGTGACAGGGCCTATGAAGAAAGAACCAAAGTCTGGTAATGTTAGGAAAAGAAAACCCAACATCCACGCTCATTTGCCTCCAGAGCTTTTGATCAGAATCGATGTACCTCGTGCTGTGATAAAATCAATCTACTTACTTCCCTCAGTGATGCACCGCCTAGAGTCTCTAATGTTGGCAAGCCAACTTAGGGAAGAGATTGATTGTAACATCGGTAACTTCAGTATATCAAGTACATCGGTATGGGGTTTTTTTCCACACTGTTTATCAATTTAGAGATGAAACAAGATATCCCTAATTGCCAAGTTAATCGCTTGTATTGGTTTCAATGAAATCACAGATTCTTGAAGCACTTACAACATTGACATGCGCTGAAGCGTTTTCCATGGAGAGATTGGAACTGCTTGGGGATTCAGTATTGAAGTATGTTGTGAGCTGTTCTCTGTTCCTTAAGCATCCTGACAAAGACGAGGGGAAGCTTACGCGTGAGAGGCAATCGATTATATCTAACTCAAATCTTCACCGCTTGGCAACAAATCGCAAATTACAGGTAATCTTCTTATATACTGTATATAAAACTGTAGTTATATCAGTCATAAAACTAAGTAAATAGCGATTTTGGTTTTACAGGGATACATAAGAAACGGCGCGTTTGAACCGCGTCGATGGACCGCGCCTGGTCAAAGTTCTCTCTTTCCCGTTTCTTGCAAGTGTGGCATTGACACTAGAGAAGTGCCATTGGAGGCTAGATTCTTTACAGAGAACATGACTATAAAAATCGGAAAGTCTTGTGACTTGGGACATAGATGGACAGTTTCGAAATCTGTATCGGATTGCGCCGAGGCACTGATCGGTGCCTATTATGTTAGCGGCGGTTTAACCGCGGCTCTGCATATGCTGAAATGGCTCGGCGCTAAAGTCGAGTTCGACACAGAGCTAGTGACTCAAGCCATCGATAGAGTTTCTCTTCGATGTTACATCCCTAAAGGCAATGAGCTCGCGGAGCTGGAGACGAAGATCCGACATGAGTTCTCTGCAAAGTTCCTTTTAAAAGAAGCTATCACACATTCCTCTGTTCATAAATCATATTCCTATGAGGTATGACTTCATTATTTGGCTGAGTTTATTCACCAGTTTTTCTATTCTCATTTGTTCCTCTTACAGAGATTGGAGTTTCTTGGAGATTCTGTGCTGGATTTTCTGATCACGAGACATCTTTTTAACACCTACGAAAAGACCGGGCCTGGAGAGATGACTGATCTTCGTTCGGCGTGTGTGAACAACGAGAATTTCGCGCAAGTTGCGGTGAAAAACAATCTGCATACCCACCTTCAACGCAGTGGTACTGTTCTTGAGACTCAGATAAATGAGTATCTGATGTCCTTTCCGAAGCAAGATGAGACTGGCAGATCAATCCCTTCAATACAGGGGCCTAAGGTAACAAGACAACGCGATTTGCTTCAATATCAAGACTTACGATGAGAATGCATTCGTCTGGTTTCATTAGGGGCTTGTCTGTTTTGGTTTAAGGCTCTTGGAGATGTGGTGGAGAGTATAGCTGGAGCGTTGTTGATTGATACGGGGTTAGATCTTGATGAAGTGTGGAGAGTCTTTGAGCCGTTGCTTTCTCCACTTGTAACTCCAGATAAACTTCAGCTTCCTCCATACCGAGAGCTCAATGAGCTATGCGACTCTCTTGGGTATTTCTTCCGTGTGAAATGCGCGAATGATGGTGTGAAGGCACAAGCCACGATCCAGTTGCAGCTTGACGATGTTCTTTTGACCGGGGATGGATCTGAGCAGACGAATAAACTCGCGTTGGGAAAAGCAGCTTCACATCTGCTTAAGCAACTTGAGGTATTTGTCACGGCTCTTTCCCACTTGTATGTGTGTTTGTGTGTGTGCCATGTATATACATTTACTGAAAGCTTTCTTTTGCTTCTTGCAGAAGAGAAATATTTCGCGTAAAACTTGCTGGGAAAGTCAAAGTTCCATGGATGTCAAGCTTGCTGACATAGGAACTCCGTCTTCAGATTCTATCGAAATGCAGAGTACATCGGTTCCAGGTAAGAGTATTCTTCTTTTCTTCATTTTTTTGGCATCCAGACTTGCTTAGGCAAATTATCCCGAACGGGAAAAATCAAACCGAACCAAATTTGGAAGTTCCGAACCGAACCGGATAATGGTTCCTTATTTGAAACATTTGGCGTACCAGAACCGGTACTGAACCGAATGATACCCAATAGTTTTCCTAATAAATATTATTTATAGTATTTAGATTTGAATTAACCAAAGGATCTGTATATCCGAAAATATTATTTATGTTTAGAAATAACTATATCTGGATTTTATTAGTTATATAATAAGTTCGAAACTTAAATATATTTTCTTGGTGAAATTCAACCAAATTTTATTGAAAATTGAACATTTATTTTATTTTCGGTTATTTTAGTTAGTTTGGATAGTTTGAATTTAGGTAATTTTGGATAATTTAGGTAAAAAAAAAACTGATCTTAAGCGAATCCGGTTTTTTTTTTGGGTTCTTAGTTTTAACTTTTACTACCTGAACTGAACCAAACCTGTCCAAATTGACTTTTGCTCGGATCCTAAACTCTCTCTTTACTCGTACTACCTGAAAACCGAAAATATCAAACCAAACCAAACCGAATATGCGAATGCCCAAGGCTAATCTAGAGTTCTGCATTTCATTGCTTAATGATTTTATGCTTTCAGTGATTGGACCTATAAACATGAAGAAAGGCGGGCCTCGTGGAACACTACATGAGTTCTGCAAGAAACATCTCTGGCCAATGCCTACTTTCGACACCTCGGAAGAGAAATCCCGGTGAGTTAATCACTTCCCGTCTCAATTTGGTTCCGTTTTTTTTTCTCTGAGATCTTAAGTCCTGGCCAATTTTAAACTGAAAACTTTCTTGTTATTGTACAGAACTCCATTTGAATTCACAGATGGTGATGAGAAACGAACTAGCTTCAGCAGCTTCGTGTCGACCATAACTCTAAGAATACCCAACCGCGAGGCTGTGATGTACACAGGACAAGCAAGGCCCGACAAGAAGAGCTCCTTCGACTCTGCTGTCGTGGAACTGCTCTATGAGCTTGAGCGCCGCAAGATCCTCACCGTACAGAAGTAAAACTAATTTCGACTCTCAACGAGTTAAACACTAAATGATTTACATTTTTAGTGATCTCGAGCTGATCTTACAATTACCAAAACTCCCAAATGTATCTGAAACTCTGATCTATGTTATGCCTTAATGATAAGCTCGTAGACATTACTACAGTTGAAGCTACTAACACGTTTCAACATTTTGAAGTTTTTTCGGGATTCGAAAAACTGAATCCGTTTGAATGCAATTTTCCCGACTTTCATCACAGAGACCGCGGCTCGGAGCTGTTCACTGTGCCTCGAGTTTGTGTGAATTGCTGTTTTGATTTCCTCCTCGGACATGTGTTCCTGCGACAGTACATAAACAAAACATAAACTACTTTCAAAGTGGTTTTAGCCAATGAGATCTCGAGACTCATAAATAGATTAGGACATTTCACCTGATAGAATGCATAGATGTGTTGGATAATTTGTTGACATGTAAAGCCGTTTTCACTGAAATAAGATCTAGAAGAAGGTCCCATCTCACCATACCAATCGATTGGAAGTAGTAACGTTATAAAACTGTTTTTGTATACTAACTCCATTCTCTCACTGCCATGCAAAAACACACAAAAACAATATCAGCTTTAGAGCATCAAAATAATAAAAAAGTTTTCAGTTTAACTAATTTTAATTAAAAAAAAAGGAATTGAACCAATTAAAAAGAAACAAGTGTTAAATGAAGTTCTTGTGGGTACTTTCACAAGTTTTCAATTGAGAACCAATTTTAAGTTCTCTCTAAATTTTTAAATTAAACTAAAATTTGATTTGAATGTGATTTTGAATGGTGTATCTTATATTCAAACCGAACCGAATCGAACTGTAGCTTAATCTCGAATGAGAACTATTTTGTAGAACCGAAAAAATTACAAAATCCGAATAACCCGAACCAAATCGATGCCTACCCCTATAAACCTATATGGATAGCTTGGATCTCAAGTTACAGTGATAAAGCAGAGGATATGGGGTTACCTTTCTGTGAGCAATCTCATGGATTGAGTGAATGAATTATCGGTTTCTTCATTATCGCTGAAACTATCTATGTAAATAGTAGCTGTTGATGTTGGCTCGGATATTGTCCAACAAATGGAATCTAGAAGGCTGCTCAGATTCAACGGCTGGATCATTCGCTTGCACACCTGTTTCAAGTGAACCAAAAAAAAAACACAAGTGTGGTTTAGAGAGCGCTCGGTTTATGAAGACGAAACATATATAGAAAGAGATGCAATGTCTTTGCGTGGCGATTTCTGACAGCTTTCTTGGCAGATTCCACAATTTTCTGCCTTTCTTTGCATGTCGTCGCCCTCTTTGTTAACATTGAGGCATCTCCATGATCACATTCCATGCCGGATTCCTGTAAAGAAGGCAAAACTATCAAAGGACATGGATCTATACTTCTCAACGGACAAAACACAACCAGAAGACTACCTTCACCAGATTCTCAAGAAATGTCCTAAGATTTCTAGCCAAATCGGCTGACATTCGGACAAGATTTTGGGTTGGTTTCTCTTCTAGCGTCTTCTGAAGCCAGAGTGGCTGAAACAGGCCAAATTTTAACATAAGCTAATGTGTCGTTATATGGAACACAAGGTCGTGTTTAGCTTACTGTAACAAGATGGCTCGAGTGACCAAGATATCTCTGAACAGAACCAACTTCACATACAACATGGCTTGCATTACATCCAATAAACCATTGATTCATGAGCTTGGCACCTCCTTCAACACTCAGTTTTGAAACCTGCAAGACTTGAAATGTAAAGTATATATAATATACCGTTGATGGGCACAACCAAATAAGTCTCATTATGTGTCTGATGACTAACCTGGCGTCTTACTTCGTCTGAAACATCGGGATCGATGAAAACCGAATAACCTGATAACGCCAAGCCCTTGCTTCCTTTGAATTCTGTTCCTTGGGCTCTTTTATGCGGGTTTTCAGGGTTTTTCACCATGTAGAGAGACTCACACAGCTTAACTAGAGCCAAAATCAAGAACTAGTTTGATAAACTTCTTGATACAGAATCAAGAACTTGTTTCCAAGCTAAAGCAAACATCTTTAACATCACAGAAAACCAAACATCTGTTCCTTGAACTCTTTTATCCGACTTTTCGGTGTTTTTACCGTGTAGAGAGACACACGCAACGTAACTACAACCAAATCAAGAACTAGTTTAATACGATAAATTTCTTGATAAAGAATCAAGAACTTGTTTCCAAGCTTAAGCAAACATCATCTACATCTATGGAATATAGCACAGGTTGCTCAAACAACGTGAAGACATAACTCACCATTTCCCCGGACGCTGTCCACAAACCACCCAAGTGTAACGATATGCAAACTATCTCTTCTCCCATGTTTCAAGGCATGCTCAAACTTGCGTCCATTGTAGCTGTAAACTCATCTTTTCACATGTTAAAGAAGTAACACAAACGTTCATGTATAAATTTCCAGAGATCACAAATCCAAAGAGACATAGACCGTAAAAGGATATCTGAACGACCAAATGGGTACACAGAGAATGCAATAGAGAACTGTATTCACCACCAAGTTTCTCTGTAGCTTCCTTAACCTGATTCCTTGCTTCTGCATACATAAACAATCGATCCTCAAATTCAGAAGAAAAAAAAATAGCTGAGATTTCATTACAAAATTCCGATAGACTAATGGCAAAATTGGATTCAAATTCGATTTCTGAGCAGAAATTGAGTTTTTCAATTACAGGTTCTTCTCGGGGATTAAGAATCGAGAAATCAAATCATGTAAGCAAACAATGGAGATGTGGAAGGTACCTTTAGAGAGACCGGTTACGCAGATAATCAGACCAGAAAAAGGTCCGACTGATCGAACCGGTGGTTGAAACCGGGACGAGGTGGTGGCCGGAGAAACAGGGTCCGATGAGCGGCCGCCACGTTGAGAGGGCGTGAACTCCACGCGCAGCTTCGAGCACCTCTTGCTGTCGATCACCTCAACTCTTCTAAGGAGTTCCATTATTGTCGGATTTTCAGATAAATTCTCAGACTCAGAGAAGAAAATAAGTTTGAATCGTGCAGTTCAAGCTTTAAGGAAGAAGAAGAAGAGGGAATCCCAAAAGTTCTTCGAAGACTGTATGCGAAATCAAAAGGGAAAAATAAAATAAAATAAATAAACTAATAAATAAAAGATTAAGAGAGGCGACCATGATCGTGTCTATGTTAGGAAAGTTGTCTTTCCTCACTACAATCCAACGACTTCGTTAATTTGAGAAAACAATCCATACTATTATTTGAGAGACTCTTCGATGTTTAAACATAATTTATGTGTTATATTACAATTTATGCTATTTGTTTTTATTTTTATCCTTAGATTTTTATTAAAGATATTTTAGGGATAGTTTTTCAGTCCTTAATTTGAATTAAATATATTTATATACAATTCAACTCATATTCTAATTCATATCTACTCATTTACGAAATGATATTAGTCTATATAAATTTATCATATCATTGATCTATCATTAAATATAACATAGGGGCACCGAATTTAAATATAACGAGGAACATGGAATGGTTACTTTCATATGTTCTTCCCTCTCGATCAAGGTCTTCATGTCTTATCGACGGAGATGTTCTATTGAAATCCTGTAAAATCAATGATGTAATGGAAATTTAAGACCTCGACCAAGTTTGAAGATCTAATGATGGTACTGTGTAAGTAACAACACCATTTCAATCAAGTTTTTGCAATCTAAAGAGGAAATTAAACAAATATGCAACACCCTTTCACCATTCTAATTTGATCTCTCGGCATCTCAATCAAAATCGATCAATCTGGGTATATAAGTTCTAACACGCTTACAATCAAGCATAGGCTTCAAAGGAAGAAAACCGATCAATCTGGGTATAAGTTCCAACACGATTTCAATCAAGCATAGGCTTCAAAGGAAGAAACTAAATCTGATATTTCTGCATCTCATCTACAAAGATTCGTAGTGTTCCTAAATCTTATAAAATTATATGCAGGGATTGTAACTGATAATTATTTTATATCTAATTTGAATCCGTGTTTAGGCAAAAATGATGGTACATGAATGAGTTTTAAACTGATTCATCACCAAAATATGAATTTCTATTTATTTTTCCAAGAGGGTGTGTGGTTTCTGCATTGATGGGAAATCTTATAACCTGACAAAAGTAAAAGTTGCATTGTTTCAAAAACCTATTATTCGACCTTTCGATTTCAGATATCTCTATTAAAATATTAGGAAGCCCTAGAGCGATCCCTCTATAAAACAAGATGGAGTCTTCATTGTTTTAGTTGTATATGATAGAAATGTCTCCGATTAGTTCTATTAAAAATCTTGGAGAATGGAAGACGGACTGGTGAATCTGTGTGAAGGTTTACAGAAAATGGAAAGTAGTTAGGGGTGGTTCTGATGTGCTACAATTCATTTTTGTTGATCAAAATGTAAGTACATATAGCATATGTTATTTCTTTATTTCTACACCATCGCTAACGTGTACTAATTAGATGTTCCATTGTTGCTTTTCATAGGGCACTAAAATTCAAGCATCGACTGAGATGATGTCTTTTGTTGATCGGTTCGACAGCAATTTATATGAGGGACAATGGAAGATTATCAAACATATCATAGTTGCAAACGTGACATCTCCTACCCGCTTAATTAGTTATTTGTGTGTTGAGTGATTGGCGAGTACATGATGATGGTTAGTTCTATATAAAACCGTAATGCAGTTATGATTTTTGTTATCCATATCCTTCATATCTACCTATTTGTGTAATATGATCTTATTATAGCTATTAAAGATGAAGGAGGTATCTCTAGGTTGTAGTTTGATCTTCAGATCGATGAAGTTGATGAATTAAGAATATCATGTAAGGATATTTGGTTCTGTTTTCTAATGTCAATCTACTTTGGTCTTATTTTGATCGAAGTGGTCCTAAATTTAGTTTATGCAGAATTAATCAAGTAGATGAAGGTGTTGTTGATATAAGCGACGAAGATGATGATGATGGTCATAACAGTAATCACTGAAGTGCCAAACTTCGACTAGCATGCAATCTATGTTCTTGAAATCTATGTTTTATTGGGAACTTCAATGTTTGTTATTTTTTTTTGGTACTTCTGTTTAGTAGCTTCTTTCTTTTTGGTACTTCTGGAGTTTATCTTTTGTTTGATTAATCTAATCCGTACTATTATATGCATTTTGATAATTTTCAAATGAAACAATTAGCAGACAGTATAGTACTATAATCACTCCTAAGTACTAACCTGCAAGTTTGTCTCTATAGCCCGATAGCTTAGTCCATTTGCGATCTGTCCATACAAAGATTACTACAATAATCAAACCATTGTAAAATATCATAATATTTCAGATATTACTATCATAATATAACAAACTACTAAATCTATAATGAAATTACATTTCGTAATCAAATCTTCTCTAATTAATGAAATATTTTACTGCCAGTAATGTGATTTAATCTTTAGGAAACTAACTGATAATATCGACTTCGAGAATATCCATTAGAATAAGATCCTGCAGTTTTTCCTTAAATTTCTATTCAGTTTCGGATATTAGATTATTTAGGTATGATTTGATTTACAGAGAATATTTGAGAAACACTTAACTTTCAGCCCTAATTTCAACCAATATATATAGTTAGTCTTCACTAAAGATTCGTAGGTATAACATCCAAAGAAAAACAGAGAGAAATAAAAAGGTTACGACTTCAATGGGCATTTCAAACATGATCACGTACCTTAAGGATCTCAAACCTTTCAAGTCAGGTTGGCGTGTGCAGGTTTAAGTGTTGCATTCGTGGAAGCAATACTCGGTTCCATAGGGTGAATCACTGGAAATGATATTAGCAGACGAATCAGTAAGTTCTAACACAAAATATATTCTTCCATTTTTTTACGTATTTTATATGAAATCTTCTAACTATATCTGCTACTGTAGGGTGTTAAAATCCATGCGTCGTGTAAAAAAACTTATTGCGCACGACTTCAGAAGGAGCTTCCTGTTGGAGAGTGAAAAATTATCGAGAACTTTTCTTTAACTCCTGCCTCTGGACAGTACAGACCTACAGACCATGCTTACAGGATGTCCTTCGTCAGTGGAACATTTGTCACAAAATCAAAGTTGAAGATAACTGATAACTTTCTCTCTTTCACCACGTTTGAGAAGATACTAAGAGGGAATCTATTAACTCATTTCTTGATTGGTAATTGCTTCTTTTTACATTTAAGGTATTTTTAAATTTAATGTATAGACTATCAATAATATTTTTTTATTTATGATTTCAGATGTCATTGGCCAAGTCGTTGATATTGGTGAGATTGAAACTGTCCAAGTCAATGGCAAAGATATAAAGAAAATTGAGTTTCACTTAAGAGATACTTGGTATGGTCTTAATTTTTTTTTATTTACAATCTATTGGATAAGTATTTTATGTTTGATTTGAAACGTTAGGTCTTTCACTTTTTATCTACAGGGAATAAAGATTGAAATGTTGTCTTTGGGGAAGATATGCTGAACAAGTGAGATCAGCTTGCGATGAATCCTTATATGGAAATGTTGTTTGCGTACTTAGGTTTGCAAAAATTAATTTCTTCAGAGGTTAGATATATACTCAACTTTTTAAAATATATAAGGATACTATTTTTACTTTTAATCCTAATTGTTTTATCTTTACTTTGCCAACTCTGTAGGAAATCTTCAGATCACAAACGCTTTTGATACATCGCTCTTGCTTTTAATTTTTCTGTTGCCTGAAGTTGACGAGTTTAAAGAAAATTGAGTATTGCATTAGTTTCTTGATACTGAACAATTTATGTTAGTATAAAATATTTTTGTTTGATTTTAGTGATTATTCCGATTATGAAGGTTACCACAGGATGGACTTGCATTGACTATACTTGAACCAAATGAGGAGAGAAGTTTTCTAAAAAGAAAGAAGGATAACTGGGCTCTCCTTCCTCAACGATCAATCAAGAATATAGTTGATTCTCATGAGGTGAGACTATCTATAATCTATTGATATACTTAAACGAATATAATTATTCCAGGTATAGTAGTTTTATTGTTTACTTTATATAATTGATATCAATGATTTTGTGTTTTTAAATTTTTGTAACAGATTGAGCATTGCAAAGTGTTGTGTACCATTTCCGGTAATGATATTGATTGGGCTTGGTATTGTTTTGGATGTGGGAAATATCACAAGAAGGTTGAAAAAGCGCTAACACATCAGTCTAACTCGGAAAAAGTTATGTCTAGACCTACATTCTACTGTTCTAAGTGCACGGACTACACTTCAAACGTGCAAGCGAGGTATTTGTATTTGTTTGATAAAAATAATCCATACTTAAAATGTTCATCAAACCTAAGTTTCCGACTAAAGTTTCAATAAATATGATCTATGCAAAGAGAAAAACATCATGTTTGGAAAGGTAGTATCTGTATTTCTGATGATTTTAATAATATGTTATGCTTAGTCAATCTTAATTTTATTTGGTCCCGCGATATTTATTTCCTATTTCGTTTAGGTTTAATCTGCATCTCACTGTGATTGACGATACTGGGATAGCAAAGTTTATGCTTCTGGACACTGTTGCTATGGAAATTGTTGGCCATTCAGGTACTAAACTCCTAAATGGTTCATTTGAAGAGGTTATTTATTTGTTTTCCTCTATTAGTTTTAATTATTTTATAAATGAATCCGTCAATTTTTTAGATTATTGATACTATTCTTATATATATATATATATATACATATATATAATATCATTTCGTGTTCTATTTCCAGATGGAAGATCCAGCTGATTTACCTGTTGAAATTACCGGTACTGTTGGGAGCTCTTTGTTGTTTGAATTTTGTGTTGAGAGGGAAAATATTTTTGGTGGTTTAGAATATTACAAGTGTTCTAAGGTTTCCAACGCTCAGGGTTTGATAAAACAAGAAGAAATCACTGATCCTGGTAGTAACAAAAATACTGTTGTTACCATTGT